GTCCCGTAGGCTTTCCAAGGCTGTAATCATTATGGAAGCAGACTGTCATATTTTTCTCCCACTAGCAGCTGATGGATTGGAACTGCCAACCTTTGAGTTAGCAGCCAAGCACTTAATCACACCACGAGTGCTCCCTGTGGAAAACACGGCGTCTTCTTTTCCCTGCTCAAGACACAGAACTAGGGCAAAGTGGAAGTTATAGGGAGGCCTATTTCCTCAGTGGGAAGAAGACTTGCTAAAGGCTCATGCTGCCCAATAGTGGAAGAGCCTACCTCAAGAGGCAGTGGGCACCACGGCATCAGCAGAGAACACAAAGAACATGGGTAGGAGAATGGAACTAAGTCACCTCCAAAAACCTTCCAATCCTGAGGCTCCATAACTTGAAGCCAGAGTTTGGTTGAGAGTTAGCCAATAATGTTTCAGAATTCTTCTGCCTCAAAAACATAAGTTGTCTAAACGAACAAATAGGAATACTATTCTAGAAGGTAGAGTCTCTGGGTGGTGCAAATGGTTTATCTGCTCTGCTGCTAACTAAAGGGTTGGAGGTTCAAGTCCACCCAGAGGCACTTCAGAAAAAGGGCCTGGTGATTGACTTTTGAAAAATCAGCTATTGAAAACCTTGTGGAGCACAGTTCTACTCTGATACATATGAGGTCGCCATCAGTTGTAATCACTTAACAGCAACTGGAAATTCTAGAAAGTACTCTCAGCCTCGCATGTGTGCTAGACCAAGGCCTGTGGCCTGAATGTGAGCATCAAGGACAGTGTTGGGAGGAGGTGGGGACATAGTTGTGATGGTTATGTTTGTGTGTCAATTTGGCTGGGCCTGGTTGAGTGGCTGGGCAGCTGGTGATAGTTATTCACCATGATGAGACTGGCAATCAACTCCATGGTGAGATCTACCACAAGCAGCTGAGTCACTGCCTTTGGAATGTGGTCTGCTTCCTGTATATAATGAGAAGCCTTGGGAATGATCTCTAGCCTATGGCACGCTTGGACGCTGCATGAAGCCATGTCATTGCTCAGCAGCTTGCTATGCTTTGCCGACCTTGGGACTTACAATGGACTTAAGTCAATGGCCTGCTGTGTGGTTTGGTAATATCGGGACTGTGCCTTTTCACTTGTCAGACTTGGGGCTTTTCAGCCTCAGCAGCCAGCAGCTGTCTGAGTGAAGAAATGCCTCTAGCTCCAGTGGGCCGGGAGCAGGAGGCAGAGCTGGATCCCAAGGTTGAGGGGCTTTCACCCAGCCCCTAGAGCCTGACACTTTGAACTTGGACTTAAAGCCTCCAAATTGTAAGAATAAACTCTTGTTTGTTAAGGCCATCCCATTTGGGGTATATTTCTTGTCAGAGTGTCACTGGGTAACCAGAACAATAGTCATCTGGTCTCTGCTAAAATTTAGCCAACTGACCAACAACTGTTATGGATGAAGAAAGTCGTGAGCAGATTCTTAACAAAAAAAAAAAAAAAACCAACATCACTCCACAGAGGAGATGATACAGCTGCATGCACCCTGACCCTGCCCTGCTTCCCTGCAGATGAACAGCAGCCGGCCTTTCCCTTCCGGATGGATGTTTTCCAAGAGCTCCTTTCTGTATATCCACAGTCAGCCTGGCTTGGGATAACTCCTCCCTCCAGTCTCAGGAACGTATAGTGAAGTAGAGAGTCAGTGAAAACAAGGAAAACCCTTAGTGGGATGGATTGCCACAATAGGCACAACAATAGGATCATACCAGCATACCAACCATCACGAACATGTCACAGGAGCAGGCAATGTTTCATTCTGTTATACATAAGGTCGCCATGAGTCAAAGCCAACTCAATGGCAACTAACAACGAATAGTCATTCTTAGGAAGCAGGTCCCCCAGCCAATCATGTTGCAGTCCTAGCCCAGAGAATTACAGACTTTGGGGATTTAGGACCCCCAAGTAACAGATGGGAAAACTGAGGCCCAAGGCCACAGCTAATGGTATAACTGGCTTTGGAAACCAGATTTCTGAAATCCAGTACTCTTTCGTAACTGAATGAATGAAATGAAAACACCTGCTCTTTGTCAGACATGAGTGGCAGGGGGCTGGAAATGAGATTGGGGAGGACAGAGAACAGGAAAATACCATAAAGCTGGGTGAGGTGCATACAAGGGACATTGAAAGAGAACAACCTCTCTCTTCTGACTGTTTGGGCCCAAAACATTCCCACTTCCCTCTGGCAGGAGAAGGTCCAGCTATCTGTTCAAAGAACTTTACCAGACAAGAGGGACAGAGGGTGCTAGGTGCTGGTGATTTCCCCCACATGACGCTGGGTCCAGGATAAGGGCCTGCGCCTTGGGAGCTGAGAGTGCAGGCAGGGCTAGGCCAGAGTAAGGAGGAAGAGCCTGCCCACCTGCCCGGACCAGGCAGTCATGTCAGTGACTATCTGGTGGGCCCAGATGGCACATGGACTGGGGCCCAGCTGGAAGCAGTGGAACAAAGGTCAGAAGAAAGGAATCATACTTCCTTTTCATGAAAACCCACTCTGTACTCTACACTAGTACCAACTCTCTTAAGTATTTAGCTAAGTGAATCCCAATGCCTCAGATGTGAACATATTGGTACCAACCCAATGTCATTCAGGCTGAAGTGTCTGAGTCAGAGTTCAATGCCATCAATTTCACTCTGTTCTCTAAACCATGAGTGTCAGGCCAAGATAAGTGATCCAAATAGCATCATTTACTGGCCATGATTAGAGCTGGAACAGAGATGGACCATGGCTAAGGATGGGGCAAAGAGTGCCCAGCTAGGTGGCCTGTCAGTAAAATGGCCGGAACTGAAGTTCTGGGCCAGCTCAGGTCTGAGAGCCAGGGCTGCAGGTCCTGGGCTAGGAACAAGGCTCCCAGGGGAACCTGAGAGCACGACACCTGACTATACCTATCCCAGTGCCTGCTGGAGAAAGGGGAAATAGTCAAGTTTGAGGAACTGTAGTGTGGGGTTGAGGCTAGGAGCTGCTTCTATTACTCCTTCTGCCTCAAGCCTGGATCTTAACTGAGTTTTATGATTCTGCCTTTTGTCTTTAGTCTGTGCGACACCTTCCAACACAGGTCAAGACAATACACAATTAATAAAGGCTCCCTACAGATGAGGACTACCTGAGTCATGTGGCTGGTTTTGAGTGGGATGGAACCTGGTCTGGAGCCCAGACTGTTGACTTCTGGGACTATTTTGGTCCCTCGTCCCTGCTCCTTCTGCGTATACTCCTGGCTCCTTTCTGGGCTTGACTCAGCAACGATCTGGATTAGTCAACCAGCTTTGTTCAGTTCAGACTCTAGGAAGGAAGCTGCTCAGAGGCTCTGGGACTCCGCCCTCACAGCACAACCCCTGTCGAAGCACCTGTGACCCTCCAGAGGCTAGAGTCCCAACTGTCTAGATGAGTGTCCTTTGGTCATTGGCAGACAGGAGCTGGCAAGATGGCCCAAAGCCAAGGATTCTGCAGTCAGCCAGCCACCGAGGAGGGCCGCCTCCCCACAGCCCTGCCCTGACATTCGCCGGGGAGTGGACACCACCCGCTAGAAGGAAGAGGCACTCACACCCGCATCTACACAGCTGCTCCACTCAGAAAATTCTGAGTGACAAAACGGACTGGATGCAAATAAGGTTTTACAGTTTACAAAGCACTCTCACATATGCTGCCTCATTCTATCCCCACAACATCCCAGCAAAGTCAGAATAAAAGCCCCCATGCTCGAGATGAAGAGACTTAGGCCCAGGGAGGTTACAAGTCTGGGCAAAGACACAGAGCAAGAAGAGGCCGTGGCCGAGCTGCAACCCCAGTTTTTCTGATTCTGAGTTCTGGTCTTTGTCTCTATCTTGCCTGCTGCCCAGATGTGGATTGATCTGTGCTTCTCTGGCCAAAGGACCAAGATTGTTTCCAGATTCACATACATATGAAAAAAAGCAACTGGAGAGGTCCACAGTGCAGCAAGTCAGCCTACAGGGTCAGGTGACAAGAAGACTCAGTGTCACAAGGCGATCTGACCACTCCTATCTGACCTCCCAGCCCAGGTGAAACCTAGCTCCCTATGTCAGCCAAACTGGAAGCACACCATGGAGCCCTGGCCAATATTCCTCCAGGTGCCAAGTCACTCTTGGGCAGCAATAAACAGATACCTCCTTGACCACACCAGGCTTCTATCTAGAAAATGATACATCCTAGCCTAGCCGACTCCAGCAGGGATAAAGTCTGCAGCCCTTGGAAGCAGACTCCCAAAAGACGTTTGCTACAGTGGACGAGTATGTGTGTGAGCGCCTGTGTGTCAGTGTGAGTGAGCGACTATGTGTGAGTGTGTGAGTGTGTGTGAATTTGTGTGAGTCTGTGTGAGAGACTGTGTGTGTGTGTGAATGTATATGAGTGTGAGTGTGTATGTATGAGTGTGAGTGTGCATGTAAAAGACAGTGTGTCTGTGTATGATTGCATATGAATGTGTGTATGTAAGTCTGAGTGTGAGTGTGAGAAACTGTGTATCTCTGTGTATGTGTGTATATAAGTGTGTGTGTGTAGGCGTGAGTGTGCATGTGTGACAGAGTGTGTGTGTGTGTATGTATGATTGTGAGTTTGTGGAATGTGTGTCAGGAAAACATGAGGTAAGTTGACTCCACTGGGTGGATTCAGAGCTCAAATTCAGAAAAGATCCAGCAAGAAATAGAAAAGGCAAAGTAACTCGTAAGGGCTCTCACATTACAATAGTGCTAAATAAGGGCTCTGGGCAGGACGGCCCCCTCCCAAATCATGACACCATGATTCCAGATGAAGATAATGTCACGGTTGTTAAAGCCACAGGGTGGCCTCACAATCTCTTCTGCCATTAGGGTCCAGCTTAGAAGAGAAGAGCCAGGATGCTAGGCACTATCTTATGGAATTACCCAAGGAGCTTCTTAGGGGGTGGATTTTAGTGTAAGGCTGGACTCAGCCTACAGCAAGGCAAAAGCCCTGCCACTGCCTGAGTGGGGAGGGTCAAGGCACCTACCTGGACTTCACGTGTGTGATAGGCGATGATCAAACCCAAAAGGATGATGGTGGACAGACTGATAAGGCATTTCAGGGCCAACGAAAACATGGAATCCTGCAGGAGAAATGGAAAGAGAATTAGGGGATTCCAGGAAACAACTGTTTCACTTTACTCTGAGGAGGAGGTGAGGAGGAGTGAGGGAAAGAGACTGCCATTAGCCCCTTCTGGGAGCAGGACACAGCCCAAAGTTAGCCTAAGCTGGAAAAGAACCTGAGTCGTGCCCTGGGCCAGCTCTCTCAGCAGCCCACCGCCCCCAGCCTCTGTTTTCTAGGTGAAAACATACTCGCATTCCTAGGATGCACCCTACTTGAGCATGATGTATTGTGTTGCTACACATGGCTAGATTCATTTTGTTGATGTGTTATTCATAACTTCTCCTCCATGCTCATAAGTCATAGGAACATAATTCTTTTTTGTACCACTATTCTATGGTCTGGGAGCTCTGGTGGCGTAGTGCCTAAGGTGTTTGACTATTAACCAGAAGGCTGGCGGTTCAAACCCACCAGCCACTCCTCAGAAGGAAGACTGGGCAATCTACTTCCGTAGAGATACCGCCTCAGAAACCCAAGGAGGGGTCGCTATGAGTCAGATCTGACTTGACTGGCAGTGAATTTTTTTGTTGTTGTTTCATTCTATGGTCTGGGTATCAATACAATGTGTCAGATTGAGTCTCTGTTTTCTCTCAGCAAACCTGAATCGGAAGATTTGGAGGCACCTTCCATCTCTAACAATGCAGAGTTCTTTCAGGAATGAATTAGAAAGTCCTGGCAGCTGCTCTCATCTCCTGGCTTAGGCCAAGGGCAGGGGAGGGAAGCCGGCGTAATGGGGGCAGCATGGGATCAGAGAGGGGTCCAAGGCAGGAAAAGGACCCTGAGGGTCCCTTCTGCTGAGGGGGATCCTTGTGGGCAGGGATGGAGCTCACAGCCTTCAGAGCAGCCTTCCAGCCCCTGGGCAGCTTAGTGAACCTACAGCCACATGATTAGGAGCAAGGGTGTTGGGGCCAGACAGCAGAGTCCAAATCCTAATAGTCACATACTGGCTACAGAACCTTAAGCTGCTTACTCCAACCCTCTGCACTCTGCTGCCTCATCTGTAACACAGAGATAATATCAGTACTACCTCACAGAGTTGTTATAAAAAATAAAGGAGGTAGTATATGTAAAGAGCCTAGGACAATACGTGGCTATGTAAGAGTAAAAGGTTAGAAATAGACCAGGCTTACTGGTCTGATAGAAGCTGGTGCAACTCTCGAAACTTTTCTCCCTTCAGTAGTGAAACTGAACCTAACCACTGTGGCTCACCTTTTTTTTTTTTTTTCCAATTTTTATTGTGAGGTGGGTGAAAGTTTACAGAGCAAATCCATTTTCCACACAGCAGTTCATACACGTTTTGTCTCATGACATTGACTATAATTTCCCACCATAGCTCAACTTTCAACCAAATGATAGGCCTAAAAAACCAAACCAAACTCACTGCCGTCTAATTGATTTGACTCATAGCGATCCCTCCTTGGGTTTCCGAGGTGATATCACTATGGAAGTAGATTGCCCAATCTTCCTTCCAAGGAGTGGCTGGTGGGTTTGAACCGTCAGCCTTCTGGTTAGCAGTCAGATGTCTTAGGGACTACACCACCAGAGCTCCCAAAGGTGAATAATAACCCCAGGGAGGTATGCATTCCTTACAACAATCAACTACATGAGATCAGAAGGGCAGCATTTGCCCAGGAATAAAGCTCAGAAGGCAGGAAGGGATAGGAAAGGACGGAGACAAACAGTAACCACAGAGAGGAAGTGGGAAGAGTGCTGTTACATTGTAGGGACTACAATCAATGTCACAAAACAAAATGTGTATGAATTGTTGCATGGAAAACCAATTTGCTCTGTCAATTTTCACGCAAATCACAATAAAAAAATATTTTTTAAAAAAGAGTTGTGGTAGTCAATAGTTGTGGTGTGTCAACTTGGCTAGGCCTGGTTGAGTGGCTGGGCAGCTGGTGGTAGTTATTTCCCATGATGAGACTGGCAATCATCTCCATGGTGGGATCTACCACAAGCAGCTGAGCAGCTGCTTTGGGTATGTGGGCTGCTTCCCGTATTTAAGAAGCAGCTTTGGGAATGGTCCCTAGCTTATGGCATGCTTGAACCCTGAAGGTAGCCGAGTTGTTGTTCAGCAGCCTGCCATGCTCTGATGGTTTGGTTACATCGGGACTGTGCCTTTTTACTTGTCAGCCTTGGGCTTGTCAGTCTCAGCAGCCAGCAGCTGTCTGAGTGAAGAAAAGCCTCTAGCTTCAGTCGGCCGGAAGCAGGAGGCAGAGCTGAAGCCCAAGGTCGAGGGGCTTTCACCCAGCCTCTAGAGCCTGGCACTTGGAACTCGGACTTCTAGCCTCCAAAAATTGTAAAAATAAATTCCTGTTTGTTAAAGCCACCCCATTTGTGGTATATCTGTTCCTGTCAGAGCGGCACTAGGTAACCAGAACAAGAGTAAAGGGTTAGCTCCTAATAAATATCATTTATTTGCATCCTCTATAAATTCAAGTCACCCAGGTTGGAGACTTGGTTCCCTTCTGGATATTTAGAAAGTAGGAGGTACCGATGGCTTCCAGTCCTAAAGGAAGATGGGAACACAGCCCTGAGCTGAGGTAGCAGATGAGTTGGGCCAGCACTTCTGAGCAGGCACTGTGTGTTGGTCCTATGCTCAGTATGGAGAAATGCACGTCACATCAAAACAGGCCCTGGCCTCAAGCGATTGGTAATCACCATAATGCCCTGTTTCTGTAAAGCACCTTACAGTTTACAAGGTCGATTTGCATAAATGTTCTCATCTATCCTCATAACAACCTTTGGCCCCTCTCCCAATTTTACAGCCATTACAGGCAGAGGTGGTAGGGTAGCATCCTGTGCCAGAGTTCAAAGCCAGGGCCTCTGACTCTCAGCCTAGGGCATTGTTCACAAGCCTTCAGTTATACTCTCCAATGGGAAACGAATAGAAGTGTAAGAAAAGTCCATTTAAACAGACCTAAATGACAGTTTAAGACAACAGTAGAAGATATTTCAAAGATAAGATGTGATTGTCAAGTGAAGTTTATAACAGAGCAAAGGTAGTTTGAGGGGCGGAAACATCACTGTGGACAGAGCAGAGAAAGCTTATAGAGATGGGATGTGAGTGGTGGTTGAGACTTATGGAGCTAGGCAGTATTGTCCAATATGGCAACCACTAAAGTCAATGGAAAGGTGCTCTGGTGGTGCAGTGATTAAGGCATTTGGGCTGTTAACCAAAAAGTCGGTGGTTCAAACCCACCAGCCGCTCCATGGAAGAAAGATGTAGTGTTCTGCTTCTGTAAATATTTACAGCCTTGGAATCTGGATGGGGGTCACTATGGGTGGAATCAACTCGATGGCAGTGAGTTTGGAGTTTTTGTGAGAGTAAGTAGAAAAGAGCCCTGCTGGTTAAGCACAGCTCCATGAAAGAAAGGCCTGGTGATATGCCCCTGTAAAGATTACAGCCTAGAAAACCCTCCGGGCAGTTCTACTCTGTCACATGGGATCCCCATGAGTTGAACACCAACTCAATGGCACCTAACAACAACAACGACAGAGTAAATGAAGGGCTTGGGATTTGAACCCAGGACTTCCAGATTCCCAAGTCCATGCTTTCAACCACCCTGCTCAGCCTGAAACAGAATGGAAGCAATTTACCCTGGTATCTATAAATCTCACCATTCCTTTATTTGATACAGTTGTTAAAGCTGACTTTGTTCCAGGTATGCACTAATGCTGGGGATACAATGGAGACCTAATAAAGCTGATCATTTGCTTATTCATTCACTCTTAATTTCATCCAGTTCTCATTTGTTAAGCATGTCCAACAGTGTGCTAGATGCTGTAAGAGATATAAAGAAAGTCCTTTGATATTTGTTCATACGTATCTGTATGTGCTGTAAGAATGTCCATGTAAATAGAACTAACTCGGAAGGAAGGTTGGACAATCTACTTCTGTAGTGATACCACCTTGGAAACCCAAGGAGGGGTTGCTATGAGTCAAGTCCAACTCGACGGCACATGACAACAACAGTGAGCAAAGTTATGATAACTTCCTAGCCACGGTCAACCACCCTGATAGAGTGAGCAGTTGGACCTGTGGGCTCAGGACCACGTGGAGTTGTGGGGAACATCAAACTCGACTGGCATAACATTCTACATAAAAACATTGTTCTACATCCTAATTTGGCAAGTAGCAACTAAGGTCTTAAAAGCTTGCAAGCAGCCATCTAGATGCAACAATTGGTCTCTCCTCATCTGGAGCAAAGAAGAATGAATAAGACCAAAGATGCATGGAAACAATTAGTCCAAGGGACTAGTGGACCAAGTGAACCTCAGCCTTTGTGACCATGAGACCAGAACTAGATGGTGCCTGGCTGCCATTGTCAACCACTAGGAAAAGGAAACATTGGAGGAGATGCTGGATAGAGTAGGAGAACAATGTGGAACAAAACTCAAATCATTAAAAAAAAAAAAGACCGGCCTTACTGGTCTGATAGAACCTGGTAAGATCTCTGAGACCATGGCCCCTAGTTACCCTTCAGGCCTGGAATTTAACCTACTCCTGTGGCTTCCAGCCAAACAACAGACAGGTATATAGGGTGAACATTTACACCAGGTAGATACACTCCTTAGAACAACCAATCATGGGAGAACAGAAGGGCAGTATTTGCACAGGAAGATAGCTCAAGGGGCAGGAATGCATAGGAAAGAAGGACACAGGGAAGAGGGAGGAAGTGGAAAGAGAGCTGTTACATTGTGGGGAATTGCAGTCAATGTCATGAAACAAAATGTGTATGAACTGCTGTATGGAAAACGAATTTGCTCTGTAAACTTTCATCAAATCACAATAAAAATTAAAAGAAAAAAAAGCATATTGCTTGGGATCAAGTTTTAAAGCACTTTACAATGATAGTTTCTGTAGCTTATCTAAAAAAAGAAGGAAAGTCCTAGTACCCCAGAAGCTTCTGGTCTGGCTCATGCATAGACTCCAACCTTCTACGCTGTCTGGGGTTG